GTTTAAGCGCCGTTTCAACCGATTCCGTCGCTGACACATGGAAAATATGGAGCGATGCAAGAGGGAGAGAGAATTTTTTTTTCAAAAAATGTAAACGGCGCAACGGTTCACGTGGCTTTATTATGGAGTGACGACAGGCTTACTGTCCCAACTGGTTAAACGGGGTCGATCCCCCCCCCCGCCCCCCGCTGTACGTTTCACCAAATTCTTAAACTCAGAACCACAGGGCAGCACAGCCGCCACGAACCATCCGCCCGTCACAACCCGCGGAAGGGCCTGCCTGACTGACGGCTGATTTGGACTGGAAGCCAGCGTGGAATGAAAGTGGGCGCAGTCCGATACGATCTCGGAGTCACCCCCTGCTGCCCGATGGCTCAGGTGCCGGTTCCAATTCGCTGCGTTTAGGATTGAGAGCTGCGGGGGAGCCACGGGGTCAACGGCATCGTGTTTAGGCGGCAGACGCTGGGGGCAGGGCAGCGGGGAAAGGGAAGGAGTGGGGGGCGGAGCTGCGTGCAAATTTGGGTAGACGCACAAATGTTACGTTGCTGAATTTACCTTTCTCCTCCCGTTTCCCGGCTCTCCCACCGTGAATCGTTGGCCTCGCGGAGTCCTCGCCGATGCAGGCGTCCCCATTTTCGAAGCCTCCCTGCAACGTACCGACCTGCTCCCCCCCCCCCCCGTGGCAGAGAAAACTAGCAGCGGTAGCGCGGAAGGGTCAAGCTGGGAAACAGGATGCGAGGCGAGGCGGAGCTGTGAATTTGATGGAGAGCTTTCGATTTAAAGCTTTCGTGACTGCAGGGATTCATCTTCTTGGTTCTTTCGGTAAAGTCACGTGACTTTACCGAAAGAACCAAGAAGATACGACGTTGTTATAAAAGAACGCGCACGCTCCGTAGTCTATAGCCTGGCTGCTAAGTGATAATTGGCTGTAATGTCATGCAGCGTATTCATTACCACTGGACATTGTAATCAGTGACTGGATAACAATTTATCTGGGAGTATTTTTTTGTCTCTTTCTCATGTTTATTCCAATTGTGCTGTTGGGTGTCGTGTCCAATCGGAGCTCTTGCAGAGCAGTGAATCACCCCGTGCTTCGGCAGTGACCCGCAGAAACAGATTTTTTAAAATAGAAACTATACTTCTGAAATCCTTTCGTGACCATTTTAATCCGCAAACACTCAGAGGCACTTTCCCACAAGGCCTGCTGCAGCGGAGAAATGTTTATCGCACGGCAGCAAAACCGATATTTACTTACTTCTCAAAGTGGGAAACATCAATATGAAGTGGAAAAGCTAATTTCATTCAGAAAACATTGGTGACTGGGATGACACCACCAATTCACTTCACGTGACAAACCAATCTTGATTTGAAGCTTTCGTGACTGCAGGAATCCATACTCTTTGGTTCTTTCAGTAAAGTCACGTAGATAGAAAATTAATAGATCACGACGTTTCGATCGCAACACAAGCAATCGTCATCAGGTGAGACAAACACGGCAGGAGAACTGCTAAGGCGATTGAAACGTCGTGATCTATACATTTTCTATCTACGTGACTTTACCGAAAGAACCAAAGAGTATTGACAAACCAACATAATCATGGGCGGCTGAAACCTTGGATTCGAACCCAGGATCTCAGCGGTGCTAGGTGAGAACTGCGACCTCTGGGCCAATTTAAAACGGGGAAACTTTGTTTTGGGGGGTGCATTTTTCAAGGTCTTCCAAAGCCCCCCCCCCCCCCCCCTAAAAAAAAATAACCGTAGTGGAATCACCTGTCTGGATTTGACTCCGCTGTTACTGCAATTCCTCCTGCACCAATCCTGAATCTACACTTAGAAGCCCAGCAACTGCAGTGAATCGTGGTTAGTTGTCAGCATGTGGCAAAAAGTAAAAAAATATGTATTCGATAAAAATGAAATTCTCTTCACCCCACCCCCTCACGGTGACCAGCGTGGTGAAGTATGATCAAATAACTTGGCCGACACGACTTGGGAAAGCCCTAATTCAGTAGTGGACCGACAAAGGGCCATGAATTATTATTGTTATTCCAATTATAAAAGAAAAAGTATTTTTTCAAAATATATAATGACTTACAGTTGACCCATAATGCATTATGCAACAGGTATGACTTGTTCAAGTGGAATAAAGTTTACTTTATTTTCAGCCGCTCATATGAAACACGTGTTTGAGTTTCCACGACGGTCTTAGACCAGCCGTCATAATTGAAAAAAAGAAATGCACACACAATAGAACCCTTTTAAAGCTACATACTCCAGACATCCAGTCCCCTTATTAACGGCGTCTGTATCTCAACACGCTTTGAAATTGGTCGCCAGGCGAACACAGGCTTGCGCGATGATTGCTCAACTCTTTTTTTTACTTTTCTTTCGACAGCGTCTGTCACTGTGGCTCAAGGGAAGCAGTTACCGCCTTGACCTCCCACCCACCCACCCCCGCCCTCCCCCACACCGCCCCAACGACAGCAAATCTCGTGGCAAAATACGCAAACACGTACCCTCAGGGGTGTCCGCACGGTGGAGCAGGAACCGCACTCAAGGATGTTTCAGAGTCACATTTGCTTAAAAGAAAAAGTTTGTTTCTAAACAATAAATAAAAATCCTCAGCTACAGTAAAGGGGCAAAGTAAAGGTGCAGTTATTTGCTCTTTGCCACCCACTGGAGGAGCTCTAAAAGGCCAAAGAGAGTTCCTCAAGAGTGTATTTAGCCTACTCTTCTATGCGGGCTAGACATTTCGGAATAGGTGGGGAATACCCACACTTTACCCCACCGCACCTGAAATGCCGATCGACTCACTGTGGAGTCCCCATTTATGCGGGTGAGGGCTCAGAGGCAGGAGGGATTAAGGAACTCGCCCATCCAATCACGTAAACATTCATTAATTATCTGCAAACATCTTAATATAGAGAGGTTCACAGAGCTTGAGCAATTATTGGCGCTGGCTTACCACCTGACTGCTGCCATTACTGCTCGCCTGTGGTTTCTCATCGCGCCTCCGAGTGGTTCTCTCTCTTCAAGAGTGAGCGGCTACTGTGCGGTAGCGTGTTACAAGTTGACATGAGTATTATTAATGGTTGCATAGATTAGAATCACTACCTGCCATTCGATGGAACGACACGGAACCCCATTGGGGGCTGGTGGGTGTAGTCGCGCAGGTGCTCGATGTATTCTCTGGTGCCATCTCTTGGTTGAATGGATTACTTTCAAACCTCGGTCTGCTTTCTGTCACGTTTATTTGCTGGTATTCTTCTTGATTTGAAGCTTTCGTGACTGCAAGGATTCATATTCTTAGGTTTTTTCGGTAAAGTCACGTAGGCAAAAAATTGAAATTAATAAAAGTTAAATAACCGTCGTGATTTTTATTTTATTTTACTTTTAGATTTTACTTTTATTAATTTCAATTTTTTTACCTACATGACTTTACCGAAAAAACCTAAGAATAGGTATTCTTCTTCTTATTAAACCGGGGGATATCGTCTTAATAACAGCCCAGCTTTTAATGACAGTCCTAGTTAAAAGGTGTGAATGTAGGGGTGGCCTCAACGGCTTTGGTGGCTTCAACAACGGCGTTGGTGGCGCTGGTGACCTCAACAACGGCATTGGTGACCTCAACAACGGCGTTGGTGACCTCAACAACGGCGTTGGTGACCTCAACAACGGCGTTGGTGACCTCAACAACGGCGTTGGTGACCTCAACAACGGCGTTGGCCGAGCTGGCATCTTGATCTTCACGAATTGGCAACCTCGGTCAACATTTCCCAACTGTGGAACTGCCCTAGCGTGGTTAAGCAGAGGCATCAGGAGGAGGGGGCTTTAATGGGTCATGTTGTTGCCTGATACCAAAGCCACCAAATGTTATCCGTATGGGCCAAACCGTCATGTGGTCCAAAGCAAACTTAATTTAATACGACAACAAAAACTCACATTTGTCACGAAAAAATTCGTTTAATTTAATGCAGGATGGAAAGAGGCCCACCTATTGATTTTTTTCAAAAGATCGAGGATGACACTAGATCAAATGCGATGCAGTTGAAATTAAATCAGTTCCACAGATTTTTTTTGCATCATTACTCTTTTCACGTGGCTTGTCAGATCTCGCCGATTGCATTGTTTACGCTTTAAGTAACGAGAGACAAACATCTAAAAGCAGCCCTCTTGATCAGGCACAATCTCCCTCCAGTGCCAATAACCCCCACTCATGGACTCAACGGCATAAAATACAGAGGCAGAATTTTCAATATAATGAGGCCGAAAAAAAGGTACTATCTGGGTTGAAGCCATAACCACGCTTAATAAAAAGCACGCAGAGAGAAAGAAAATCCCTTTAAGATGCGCCGCAGATGATGTCTGGCGTGTGGAATGTGCGCCGACGTTAGAGGCTCGTGGTGATGCACGCGCGCGCGCACACACAAGCGTGAGCCCGTTAGCGCCACTGTGAGGAAGTGCACGTGCGAGGACTTCAATACGACCCAGATTTGTTTTTATTTTAAACTCAAGAGTGCACTGCCGTCAGCAGTGGTATGCGAGCGCAATCAAAAGAAATTCACCACTCCGAAATTACTGATTGCCCGACGTCCCTCTAATCTTGTCAGACCTTGGAAGCTAAGTAGGCTAATAGGGTTTTTTCCCCTTTTTTTTCTGGCAACAAAACTGATACATTTTGCAAGGAATCATGCTTACATTAGAAATTAAAGTGCGATCCAAAACTCTTAAGTCAAGTCAGTCTCTCTGGCCCCGTCTCTGCTTTGCAGGAAGGCCATTTCCCAAACCATCAGCCTATTCGGCAACATTAAATGTGTGGCGATTGTTCAAATATGTTTAGAGGGCTTTGGTTGCCGAATGCTCGTCATGTGGAATTGTGGGTTGCACAGCCGTTCATCTCCGCACGCCCACACGCGCCTCCCCTACCACCCACCGATACCCCCCGCCTCGTTTGCTTTGCCTGATCCTTGTATGTGATCCCACACCCCCCCCTCCCCCCGCAGGGAGATGCTGGCGAACAAGGCCCTTCGGGACCCTTAGGTCTCCCCGGCCCGGCTGTGAGTGATCTTTCCCTGCACCTTCGCTTTTGACGTTAAAAACACTAACATATTACTTCTTGCATTTATCGCTGGTTAAAAAAAAAACTAGAAAAAACCCAGAGATTTTTACCACTGCAAGCGGATCACGTGACTGAATTGCATCTGCCAAAATTTGCGTTTTTTTGTCAAACTGTTTGGCATCGATTGACTTTAAACTTGACTTTTGATGCTGTGCAGAAACGGGTGAAGTTCGCAAGGTCAAACTTTTTTTTTACTCTGAAACTTTTTTGTTTTGTTTTTAATTCCCAGCCCCATTTTCTCTCCTCCCTCCCTCCCCCCTTCACCCACCACCCACCTCTCATTTTAGTTGTTTTCATTTTCTCTGATGTTTGTGTAGGGCCCCAAAGGTGATTCTGGCCTGCAAGGGCTCCCGGGCCCCCCTGGCCTTCCTGGGGCCAAAGGAGAGAAGGTAGGGGACACCAATAAATGGACGAGACTCCATGCAGCAGGACCAGTCATGCAGGGAATACAGCCGGAGTTGTGAACAGCAGACAGGCATAGAGAGGAGTCTCAGACGAGCCGAATTGACGTTAGATATTTTAACATGGAGCGGGGTTAGAATATGACTTATTTACATTTGTGTAACGAGCCGCGCGATATTATGGGTGCTACTAAACTGATGAAGGTACACATGAAAATCTTTAAAAGACGAGTAAAATAAATAATTAAATCTATGTGAAAGTCATGAAGAAATCTTACTTCACGTGGGTTTTTGCATCAAGATTACGGCAGAGTTTAAAGTTGACGAGGGTTTGATGAGGAGTAAGGATTGAGTTTCAATGGATGAAAGCAATGCGGTCTTTGCAACCACAAAAGACGCTCGTGAATGTATTTGAACGAGATCTTAGGGGGCTCAAGAGGGCTTCTCTGTTGTTCTGTCCTAAAGCCACCAGTCAGTAAAAGAAGTGGAAATTCACTCCTCAGCGTGTGAAGGCAAGAGGCTGATGGCTCACAATGACAATTTCTCGCGGTCATCCGATGTGGAATAATATTGTGTTGGCCACGAATAATGTCATGCAGTTCTTACAGGATTTAAACGACAGAGTTGTCTTCAGTCAAGCGTCACGCTATTTTAATCATCACAGAGCCACGGGTAAATCGATCAAGGAAATTACTGTAGGCGCTACAGCAAACAATGCGAGAATGAGAGCAGCAGCATGCGAGGTCGACGATTGGAAATGTATAAATGGTGGCCTTTATGGAGAGCAGACCTGTCAACCCATACGGTTTATCAGTATTCTTGAATAGAGAAATTTAGTTTTAAGGTCCAGGCGTTTCAATACGGGCAAACATATTTTTGTCTATTTGTTTGTGTTTCTCCCTTGCGTTGGTACTTTGTACGATGAACTTTGAGATTCATAAGGACACGGGGTGACCAATAAGGTCTGAATTGGTCTGTAATAAGGTGGGGCACTGATAAGGGGTTGACTGGTATGGGAGAGGGATGGAATGGTAACTCATGATAGAGATACAATATTAAATTCCGTGAAGGAACGCTATGCAAATTTCTATAATTAAAAATTGATAGAACCCAGGAATGAGACCTCTCAGATGACGATGGTGACGATGAGGGCCACTTAAACAGGTGCCCCCATCCTGCATGGCAAAATGTGGTGCTGGAATCCAGCATGAGCAATAAGCACTCCCTCTCTGTCTCTGCACCAGGGATCTACCGGTGAGGCTGGAGCCAAAGGAGTCCAGGTGAGAGGATGCGAGGGACTGCACTTCTGTGTGCATCACTTTCACCGGGTTTTAGGGACGAGTTTCAAGTAAAAAAGAAAATAATTGGATTTCAGATTTGTATTTTATTTCGTATTTGCGTGTTTGCATGTATTGTTTTTGAAATGAGTTGCATAGTTTTTTGCACTATTTACGTGCTATATTTAATATTTGTAGTCTTAAAAAGTATTCAAAAATATATATTTCTTACCTAAAATGACATCGGTAAAGCAATACTGTTAGTGTAAACACTTCATATTGTAATTATTTAGCAAAACATAATGTCACGTATCATCAATATGATGTTATGTGACGGCACTTTTTACAAAGCACGAAAGCGGCCATAAGTCACAGCAATAACTGTGACGTCACCCTTTCAGATCTCGGCCCAATTTGAGTATTTTTCTGATTAATCTGAAAATCGGGAACTCTTCCCAACTGGGTTTACATTAAGAAGTAAGAAAAATACAGCTAATGAACTTAACTTGAACAAATTAGCCGTGCTTTTACTCTCATAGAATAGGTAACTTCTTGTGTTTACAATAAATACCAGTTTTATAACGCAATATATAACGTCATTGTAGAGTGAATGGGAGTGTACGCCCCCTAATGTGTAGAGCAGACAAAAGGCACTTGAAGGACTATGTGGGGCAAAGGCCAATTAAAAAGTCTGACGTATGGGTCACACTGCTGCTGTACGAGATTTCCGATGGGATCCTTCATCTCGTGACAATGCCAAAAGCACAACTGGAATTTGGGGGTGGGAGAGATATATTACATGGGTATGTTGTGTTATTGTTAAATTAGACAGCCATTGTAAAATGTCATATTTTTTAAGATTTAACAATGAATGGAAAAGCATGAAAATGACTGCTCTGCTTTCTATTTTCTCAGGGCAACCCAGGATTGGAGGGCATTCAGGGAGAGAAAGGAGGACAGGTAGGTGATGCCACCTTTTTCGACACATTGGTTGGTAATGTTAACGAGTAAGTCCCACCTAGCATGGCACAAGCGTCGTGGTGACATCACTTAGTGGCGAATGACGTCCCTTGTTGTTGGTGTTCTGTGGAGTACCGGTGTGGCATACCATCGTATACCGGGCACATTTTCTCCACTGCCTCTACATAATTCAACGTATACACTCACGATACATGCAATGACTGTGTTTTCCCGATCAATAATAATGTGTCATTTATGCAGATTGTATGCAAATGTTATATGTAGGCTCATGTAGCGAAGGGGCCTGTACAAACTGGATGGAAAATACAATTGAGATGGAAAAGAACAAGACAAACAGAATTGATGCTCGAATTGCATCGAGACCACAACATTTTGGGAGAAAATTCATTACGAGTATACATTGCAATGTTTAAATTCGCTGACGTCTTGTGCGTTCTGTCTCTTTCTAGGGAGGTCCTGGTGACGTTGGGCCCAAGGGTGATGTAAGTAGCAAATCCATCTTGCACGGACACACACACACACTCATTGCTCCATTACTATAGCACATTAAAACCAGCAGTGCGTGCTTTCGGGAATCGTTCCACTCAGCCTCTTTTCAAAATGCATTGCATTAACTACAAATTGTCCAGGAGAGGGCAGTAGAGTAATGAATTATTGAAACTATGTGTGCAGGACATTGAAGGTTATCACCACATGTGCACCAGAGCACTCTCTGGTGCACATGTGGGTTTACTCCCACGTGGACGCTCATTACATGAGACTTGCCAAACATCTCAATGTAGCAGGATCATCCTGATAAAAAAGGTCATGATACTTAAATGAGACTTTCCTGGTTAAAAGAGCATTAATATTATTACTATGACCATAATTAAAATAAATAGTTGTGCAAAACTCTCATGTTATCAAGACATTAGCTACATATCCTCACGTGGGACAAAATACATCCCTCATCTCTGGTTTATGGTCCTGGGCCAGAGGTGGAAATTCCACATTTCTATGGCGAGTAAATGCAGAACCCTCAAGAAAAACAGCTGTGAGACACAGCGCATCTTTCCTGGATAGTGCGTGGATAAACCCTTTTGTATCCCCAAGGAAAGCCTTACTAAGTCTCATTGCTTTTATTCAGGTGGGCACTACATTGGGATGTTTGCCCAGTGATGTTTTTTTTAAGATTGTGGGAAGACACCAGATGACCCAGAGAAATCCCACACAAATGAGAGAAAAATACTTCAATTCCACGCACGCAGGTTCATGAACCCATTGTCTGCATGCATGTCTTGGACATCTCGGAGCCCAGTGAATTGGGATATTTGCCTAAATGTATTAAGTCATCTTTTACACTGTGATATAACTCAGAGTAATAAACGACATCACTCGTCGTAAATTTACATTGCAATGGGAAAACACGTAAAGAACGTCACTCAAAATAAAAATAACTGCGTTTGCCATAAGTGATGAAGACTTGAAAACCAATTTCCTTAGAACTGATTTTTGTGTTCAGTTTGTTGTCCTTCCCCCGCACCTCCAATTCGCATGGTTGTATACGCACGGTGCGAAAGAAGTTCAACATACATACAAGATACGTACAAAACTTGAATTTAACTCTTGGAGGGGGCACCGACTCCTCTGCCCTCCCCTTATAACCTTTGCCCCCTCTGCTGCTGCTGCCCTTGTCTCACCCCACAGATTGGAATCCCCGGGGAGCAAGGCCCACGCGGACCCAATGGCCTTCGGGGTGTCCCAGGCCTGGACGGGCCGCCGGGCCCTCCCGGCCCCCGTGGCCTGCAGGGAGACCGCGGAGTGACGGGACTGCCGGGACGGCAAGGAGATGCTGTGAGTGCCTCGGGGGCCAACCTTGCCCTCACCTTCAGCCTCGTCGTTATCTGTGTTCATCAATGGTCTCGGTTGAGTTTAGTTTTGCTGATTTCATCCACAGTGGATTATAGTCAGGCGGCAAACAACAATGTACAAAATAAAATAAAAATATCACGTGTGTAGAAAAAGTGAACAAAACTCAAGCTTATTCTAAATGGTATGTAATTTTTTGTTAGATTTAGTTAGTTTAAACATCCTCCATTATGTCATAAGTGAGCTTGTTCCAATCATTGGCTGTACAGTACGTACAATAGTATATTCCTGCCTCACAATGGATATATTTTAAAGATTTAATAGTCATGGTTGGTCCATTATACTTACGTGAGATGGATGGTGAATGCTCCTATCAAGTTCAGTCCAAGCCTTCTCTTTAGTATCGAGTCTATGCGTATATTTTAGTTTGGCTGTTGGTTGCAACAATTTGCATCCACAAAAGTGATGACGTGATGATAATGACGAGAGTAATGATATGGTGAGTCTGATGATGACAATTATTATGAATATGACTTCATTTTATGATGTAAAAATTACCCATATATACAATATAATAATTATATAAATGTTTGAGCTACAGGACAGAGTCCAGCTTGTATCCCACACGTCCTAAATCGAGGCCCAGCGACACAAACATCGATGTGTTTGTACCGCACCGATTGATGACCAGTCTACGATGGCTTGTGTCCCTGGCTGTGTTAAGGGCAACTTTGTAAAACTGATGACGCTGAACATTTTGTTTCGACTGTGGCAGGGTAAAGAACCAGGAGACCAGCACATCAGGGACGTCTGCATGAGGATACTCCAGGGTGAGACAATCAAGCCAGATTATTTCTGGAAAAGCCAATCTTTATTGTATTTTTAACATTCATTTTCTTCTAGATTTGAAGCTTTCGTGACTGCAAGGATTCATATTCTTAGGTTTTTTCGGTAAAGTCACGTAGGTAAAAAAAATAAAATTAATAAAAGTAAAATAAAAAATCAAATACAAATCACGACGTTTCGGAGGCAACACAAGCCTCCGTCTTCAGGTGGAACCGTCACAGCACGACAGCTGTATCTTACTTGATACTTACTTGATATAGCTATCGTGCTGTGATGGTTCCACCTGAAGACGGAGGCTTGTGTTGTCTCGTGATTTTTATTTTATTTTTATTTTACTTTTATTAATTTTTTTTTATCTACGTGACTTTACCGAAAAAACCTAAGAATATGAATATTCATTTTCTTCTCAGCCTTGTTATAACTGTGCCGTCACCATCATGTCTTGAGATGAAGTATCATTTAGAATCATCGCAAAACGGAGAAACCCTGTGAAACAGCGCCTTCGTGATAGCCTTGTGTTATAAGAATGGCGCCAACTACCAAATTGTTCCCAATTATGAATTCGTCGTCTTTCATATTTTTGGTATTTATCCTGCATATTCTCGAGTTGGCTTGTGTAGATTTTAATTCCTTCGTTCCTTTAACTTTTTGAAGAGCAACTGGCACAGCTGGCCGCCAGCATCCGGAGACCGGAGGCAGGCGGCATGGGCCCTCCTGGCCGCCCGGGGCCCCCCGGTCCTTCCGGCTCTCCGGGCTCAAGCGGCCTTCCTGGGCAGCCTGGCACGCGTGGCCTTCCTGGTCTGAAGGGCCCCCCCGGCGTCATCGGCAACACTGGGCCCAAGGGTACGCACTTGCCTCGGTTGTCTGCCACCCGGCTGAAGCTTCATTAGTGAGAAGAATTGTTAAAAAACTTTAAAACCACATCCACGTATTCCATCGAAGTGCTCCGATGCCACCACTGCATTCATATTGACATAAACCAGTGGTAATCTCGCTGCAGTGTTATGATAGAGTGCCAGACAGTAACAACACATTGTGTTTTTCATTTACGAAGCATCAAACTCGGTGGTATGCACAACCATTTCACGAGGGGAGAATGATGTGTATTATTATTATTGTGTTGACTGGTTGACTGGTGTTATTACGATGTTATTACGATGCAACTGACAAAACTGGGACTTTTAATGTCCTCGCAAGACTTGATTTATTTTAAAAGAACCGGGAAGACAGATGTCCGAGGAGAGCTACCTCATAGAGAGGGATGATCCTGGGAAAACCCAGGACACAGTTGGCAACCCTACCCCATTGCTAATGTCTCGACTGCGCGTGGATTCCTTCACAGGCGACCAAGGAGACAAAGGAGACAAGGGGGAGACAGGACGTGGACCTCGAGGAATGCAGGGACCACCAGGGCCTCAAGGTGAGGCACCACCCCCTGCTCCTGATGGACTGAGGGTTCTCAACTTCTCAGTAATGAATCGGGAGAAATGAATGACTCCGTTTTTGTTGTTATATTATCAGACACATTTCCCACTCTTTTCTCACATTACTCCCTCTTGGAATTTTCCTCCAATTGTCTCGTTTCCCAAGTTCTGATAACCTTGCTCATTTGAAACAGTGCGCCAGGTCTTATCTGCTGTCCTCTCATTAGTGATGACGGTGCCTTTGGCTTTGGAACTCCCTCGCATCGTCTCACTACTCAAGTGCCTATAACCTCGTACATTCAAGAAACAGGCTCGATCTTGTCTGACCTGTCCTGCCATTAGTTACCTCTGCTGTCGGCCGGTGGTGATGGTCCTGAGGACATGGTGGTGTGGCAATGACTTTAAGAATTGTGTTCGTTGCTTTTAAGTTGGATATTTTTTGAATGGATAGCAAAACAAATATTTTATACTTTACAACATTATTGTGTTGGATGTAATGATGTAATGAAAGGCAGATTTATCCGAGAAAGGTGCCATAGATCAATAAAAAAACAATTAATTGACTTAACTCGCTGACCACTTGGCAATACTGGACTTTGGGCCTGTGGTCAGCAAACGTGCAGTTGGTAAATCGGCATTGACCACTTTCCGCGTGACCAGGGGAGCCGGGACGGCCTGGATACGGCAAGGACGGGCGCGACGGCGAGCGAGGCCCTCCAGGACAGCCGGGAGAGGTTGGGCGGCCAGGGTCCCCCGGCCCATTCGGGCCACCCGGATTCTGCGATCCAGTTTCCTGCATCGGGCCGGCCGCCTACCAGGGCGTCGCGTCGGACACGAAAGGACCGTGAAGACGGCAAGCGGCGTAACCACCATCATCAACGCAACAACCGCCGCCGCCGCCGCCACCATCATCATCTTCTCTCCTTTCCGAAAAAGGGCCACTCGGCCGACATCAGTGGTGGCCCCGTTACCGATGGATGTGTGCGTCGTTGTCCTCGTCGCCATCGTCGTTGACAAAAAAAAATTACGTGCAAATAAAATGAAGGATGAGACCCTTGGTTGTTGTTAAAGCAAAAACAACGTTGGTATTGCTGTTTCAATACCGTCGGCAGATTGTGTTAGTTGTTGAATAATGTGCACATTTGTAATGTGACAATTTGGATTTTTTTTTCTCCTTCTGTTCGGCAATGCTTTATCAGCCTGTGTGATGTCTGTCAACTTTGACGTGCATTTTTTGTTATGGTATTATGATCCCATTTAAATGATTTTATTTGGGTTCGCACACTATCCCATTCTTGTTTCATACTTCATTGCCTCGTATGCACATATGTACACCTTGACAACTAACGCTGTCTCCTTGACAATTATTTTTTAAAGTATTTTTTTGTAATTGATTAAAGTGTACCAGTCTTCTGATTATGACCTGAGAGGTGAAATCGTAATTATGCATTATCTACTATACTTGATAACGGTTTTTTTCCCCAAAAAAGTTGAGGTGCTAGATTTTACGGTGCGGCTAAAGTAAGTGAACACTTAAGCAGAATTTTTTTTTGTTCTCCGAGAACTGTCCTCGAAACTTGCATCCTTAACCCCTTCAGTCGTTGAGAAAGTACTATCAGGAGTGCTGCATGGTCTGTTATTTAGCTGCGTGGACATTTTTGGAAGTTGTACCACACAAGTCCTGAATTTGCCACTGCACCCCCCCCCCCCCCACTTCTCTCTTCCTGCAACCAAACCTAAAATCTCCCCAGCGAAACCACAACACCACACTCATGGCCAAGCCAAGCTACTGTGTGGGCATTAAGCCCGCGTGTCCACACTCTGGAGAGCTGAATTGTATACACGAGCCAAAAACAATATATACTCGTCATGGCCCACCCACACTTTAAAAACGTGCACACGCATCGCAAACGCACGCGCGCACACAAGCATTCCTTTTGAACTTGGTGCTTTAAAACAAAAATAATCACAGCAAGTGTATTTCGGTAACTGAAGATGTAAATTAAGAAAAAAATAAAAACTACATTTTTCCATTCATTTGCCTAGAAGTGTACATGTAAATATCACGTGCAGTCTTCGGGAAGTTTTGTTGTCGTGCTTTTATGTATTTTGGTTTACGCAAAAACAAAAGGCATGGTTCAGAGTTTACCGATAAAACATTGAGAGCAACATTTGATGTGAAGTCAAATTGCACTTGACGTTTGTACTCTAGGGGCGACGTTCAATAAAACATGGCTGAGTACACAACTGAGAGCTGACATCGGCATTTCAACCACAAACGCGTTCAAAATACACACACACACAGGCCTGAATCGTGTCTTGAGTATTGATCACAAAGCCTTCAAGTATTGTCGAGGACCATGACCGTCACTGGGTTTCCATTTAGAAGTCAGGAGAAAGGACGAACCAGTGAAGTCCAGCGTGGAAATGGAGTGACAAGATGAGCTCGTGTGCAGATGCTTGATGGATTGTTTCATCGCGTGACCGTGACGGCTATGACTTTGGGAGGCCTTCATCCAGCAGTGGCTAGATCACGGATGATGACCAATCACAAATGTCTACTTGGAAACCCATTGCATATGTCCTGGTCTTGAGTGAAATCAATTGTTTAAAGGATAATATTTTTTTTATTGTTATTGTGCTTGCTTACTCAGGAAAGCCTCAATGAGTCTCAGGACTCATTTTCTGGAGGGTCCTGCAAAAAATGATTCAGAAATAATTTCAATCGGTGAAATACGTTTTCCAAAAATCTTCCGTTATTAAAATGAAAATGACTCCAGAAAAGTTACTCGGAAACCCAGCGATTTATTTACACTTCAGAACAAACTCGTGTACCTGTGCGACTCAATTTTTCGGTCTCAATTTAAATTGACGCTGAAGAAAATACATGTTAGTAAACACATGTACTGGTAATGTTTTGCACACAAAAATGCCCAGTCAAGAATATACAACCCCATCAACAGTGAAGCAAGTCGTCACCCCCCATGGACTGTGACGCTAAACCTGCTGGAAATGTTAAAGCCCACGACAGGTTACTTAGTAAAGTTATAAACCCTGCTGATTAAGGCGTGTCTTTCACTCAAGAGTTCTATTCTGCCATCAAATACACTCAGACAGATGTTAAACTCAGTTTAACACGAAGGCTTATGCGATCAATATCATCCACAAAAGAGGTTTATTGGGTTAGATCGTGATCTAACCCAAAACAACTCTATTATAGATGTTAAATCTTGACTTAAAGCTTTTGTGACTTTCGGTAAAGTCACGTAGATAGGTTCAAAGAAAATAATACAAAATAACAGAAAACTACGACGTTTCGATCGCAACGCAAGCGGTCGTCTTCAGGAAAACGACTGCTTGCGAAAGAACCAAGAATATAGATGTTAACCTTCTAACTTGGTTTCAGCTTAGAGTGAGTCTCGGGCTTGTGAGTAGAGTAGTGGTTCGGCTTGTTAGGGGGTCTCAGGTTTGAGCTAAAGTTCGGCTTCAAGTAATGATTCGAGTTGAGGTTAGCCGTAGAATTCGGGTCATGATTACGGTTATGCTTTGGATCATGGTTGGAGTTCACTTCAACTTTGGAGGCTTGCTTAAGTTTTGAGCCCGGGTCAAGTCCCAGACTCCGCTGACGCTTCAAGTCGAGGTTCGCCCCCGGGCCGGCAGGCCCCGTGACCTCAGTCGAGTCCCTCAGCGCAAAGTAACGTCCAATGGCCTCCACCCCACGGCGACAGACGTCCAGAGGCGGCTCCACCATGGGATTGCCGTCCACGTCGGCGCTGCACGAACCCCACCGCAGGCCGCGCATCTCCCCAAATCCCCTGGGCAGGCTGCGCAGGCGGTTGCTGCCCAACCACAGGGTCCTCAGCGTGGTGAGAGAGCACAGCTCATCCGGCAGCTCCCGAATCGAGTTGTAGAGCAGCAACAGAGTCTCCAGCTTGGCCATGGAGCCGATGGCGCTCGGCAGGCGCTCGATGCAGTTGTCGCTTGCGTCGAGAAAGCGGAGGGCCTTGAGCTGGCACAGTTCGGCGGGCAGCACCGGGCCCAGCTTATTGTTGGCCAGGTGCACGCTCCTCAGCTTCCGCAGGCCGCCCAGACCCCGCGGGAGGGCGGTGAGGGCGTTGTTGCTGAGGCTCACGCGTTCCAGGTTGGCCAGCAGCGACACC